AAGCCACAAATTTAATTTTTGCAATTAAATTAAAGACATTAGTTCCATTTCATCCTCAAGCGAATTTTGGAGTAACTTTTAAAATTACTGGGTTTTAAAGACACAGCTAAAATCACGTTTCCATGGTTACAGATAAATCTACTTCAACTGGACAAGGGGTGTCTGGGTTTTCCTTATGTCTGTATCATTGTATCGGTTATTAGCTACATTTTGGTAAGGGGTAGGGATGTATTTTTCATATATAAGAACACTGGATTATATATCTTACTGTTCTTTCTTTTTATTTAAATACATATATATATATATATATATATAAAATATTTATATATTACTTATATATAAGTATTTAATAAACATATATATATATATATATATATATATATATATATATATATATATATATATATGTACGATATTTGTATGTGTATGAACATATGGTTTATACAGATGTTTGTGAGTGGTGCATGTATAATTCTGTGTGTTTATATCTTGTTCATGATGTATCTGTGTGTATGTGTACAACTGTTATTTTGTGTGTCTGAATGGATGTGTGCCGTGAGTATTTATTCATGTGTTTGAATGTGTCTTGTTTATGAGTTTGTTCATGCAAGTGTATGTGCATGTGCATTATTCTGTGTGTGTTTGTGTATGAATGTTTGATTATGTCAATACCTTGCATATTAATGTACATGTCTTGTATTTGACTATGTGCATTCATATATAAATATACACACTTATATATACATACATATACATATATATATATACATATACACATGTATATATATGTATGTGTGTGTGTATATGAGTATATGTATATAACTTATTTTATTCACTTGTATATGAGTGAATATCTAGTGCATTATCTGTGTGCATATGTGTGTCTGGTAATTGACAATGTAAGTAAAACAACTGTTTATTTATTTATATGTATATATATGTGTATATGTGCACATATGAGTGTATCCCCCCAATATATATATATATATATATATATATATATATATATATATATATATATATATATATATATATATATATATATATATATATATATATATATATATATATATATATATATATATATATATATATATATATATATATGGGGATGTATTATATTTATGTATATATCTGTATATGAGTCCTTGGATGTAAAATATCTTATGTGTTCTCTGGGTTTGTTTCTGTATGTGTGTTTAGACATATATATTAATATATATATAACAGTGTGTATACACTTGTATATGATTGTATGGACGTGTGCATACACTGTGTGTGTGTGTCTTGTAAGTGACTATGTTTACTGACAAGTGTTTGTGCATCCATATATGATTGTATGTGTATGTGTTTAACTCAATGTATGTGTTTATATGTGAGTTCATCGATATGGGAATACCCACTTCATGTTCATGTGCGTGTGTGTGTCTTGTTTATGACTTTTCAGGTGTATGCAGTTTTTTGTGTATTTATATAAATATGTATGTGTGAATGTGTGTGAAACTGTGTATGACTGTTTGTGTGGGAGTGTGTATAAAAATATACGCTGATATATGTACAGCGGATAAAAACGGAAGGAATATTTCTGAAGACAGATAAAACCAAGTCATGCTAATTAGGGATGTTTCTCTTGCCTCGATCCTTGTTGGGTTGAATTTCATGAAAAACTCGAGTGGAGTTAATTGCTTGCATTTCGCTGTACATGAAAGCAAAACGGAAGAAATTGATTGAACTTTTATTGTAAATTTCACTTATTTATAAAATCAATCACATACAGAAGAAATGGTATGCGAGAAATAAGAGATAGATAGATAGATAGATAGAGTGTGAGAGAATGAAGAGACTGATATAGATAGATAGATAGATAGATAGGAGCAGACAGGGATAGATAGATAGATAGATCGATAGAGTGTGAGAGAATGAAGAGACTGATATAGATAGATAGATAGATAGATAGATAGATAGATAGATAGATAGATAGATAGATAGGAGCAGACAGGGATAGATAGATAGATAGATAGATAGATAGATAGATAGATGAATTATTGAGAGAATGAAGACTGATATAGATAGATAGATAGATAGATAGATAGATAGATAGATAGGAGCAGACAGGGATAGATAGATGATGAATAGATAGATAGATAGATAGATAGATGAAGTGTGAGAGAGAATGAAGAGACTGATATAGATAGATAGATAGATAGATAGATAGATGGATAGATAGATAGATAGATAGATAGATAGATAGATAGATTGTGAGGAGATGAAGAGACTGAGATAGATAGATAGATAGATGGATAGATAGATAGATAGATGGATGGATGATAAGCAGACAGGGATAGATAGATAGATAGATAGAGTGTGAGAGAAGATGAAGAGACTGATATAGATAGATAGATAGATAGATAGATAGATAGATGATAGATGAATAGATAGACAGACAGGGATAGATAGATAGATAGATAGATAGATAGATAGATAGATAGATCTCTAACATCATTAATCTACTTTGGGTAAATGTAACTTACATATTTTATCATTATCTATCTGTTTATCTATCTCTAACTATCTGTTTATCTATCTATCTCTCTCTCTCTCTCTGTCCATATTTAAGTCTATTTCTATCTATATATCTTATTCGCTTCATCTATCTACTTCATTACAGACATTATCTATCCAGCTACCTATCTATCTTAGTCTTTTCATATCTAAGTCTATTTCTATCTATCTATCTATCTATCTATCTGTCTTTTTATCTATCTATCTCAGTCTCTTCATTATCTATCTCAGTTTATCTATCTATCTATCTATCTATCTATCTATCTATCTATCTATCTGTCTTTTTATCTATCTATCTCAGTCTCTTCATTATCTATCTCAGTTTGTTCATATCTATCTATCTATCTATCTATCTATCTATCTTAACTCTACTAATGTTATTTCACCTTTTAGTAGTACAATAAATGTAATGCCTTGTGTTACCCCGTGTTAAACTAGTCTGGCCACACTAAATATCCTATAACATAGCTGCTGGTATATTTTCAAACCATGTCAAATTCAAGCCTAGGTAAAATATAGGATATTGATTTTCTCATATCTGATAGCCTACCACTCCCCAATTAAAATACACTGACTAAACACAGTCTTTCCTATCATTTCCTCCAATTGCTCATGTGCCATACAAATCTAATAACATCTTTATATAGACATTTACTTAATTATGCTTACATAGATGCAAGAACTCAGTAATGAAGTGCCAAGTGAGGACTGAACTCGCAGCATCAGCTGTCATCAGCAGTGAGTCACTTAGTGAGGATCAAATTAATTAGACTAGCTCTGTTCTGCAAGACTAGTTTACTACACAGTTTAGTGTATGTGGTATAACTTATTTGCCATTAATCGAATGTGCCCATCATTTTTCCCAATAGAATAGTAATTGTGAGTTCAATCTCTGGGTCGGACAATGTATACTTGCACTTAGTGGAAAGAGAGCAAGCAATAACTGAGCAGTACTAAAAATAAGAATTGGGCAAGATATACCTAGATCTGATCAGTGTAACGAAAACAGTCTACCCAACCCAAGGATTAAATAAAAGGTTCAATTTATAATTCCCTTTAGGTTACATGAATCATCATAAGCCTAATAAATGCTACACGGCACAAAAGCCGAAACATTGTGATAACAACAACAAAGATGAGGAAAATTTTATCTTACACACACACACACACTCACACACAAACAATATATATATATATATATATATATATATATATATATATACTGGGTGTAACACCAAAACTGTCCAATTGTTAGATAAGCTCTGAAGCATTGCATCTTAGAAATGATTAAAGATATCTTACTGGAATTCCCCAAGGTTTAGGTTTTTATAACACTATTGAACTCTACTTTCAGCAGTAACAATGTATAATTACTCTGCAAGCTTAACTGAAGAATCATAAAGAAGTTGATCATAAATGAAAATGACATGTTCCTAATTAATCATAGCTAAGGATTGAAAGTTCATGAAGGATTGAAATGAAGTTCAAATATATATATATATATATTATTCCAGGATTATTCTCCAACTTATTCAAGATGATCTTCCCCTTCTCTAACCTAACAAGGTACCACACACATTTCACATACAATTTTCATTTTCAAGTCTTTTTCACTGCTCTTTTGACTGTTATAGGAATTGAGTTGGATCTTTTCTAATTGATCTCTCTAGCTCAAAGTTGAAATGATGATCCCTATTGCTGTTGTGACCTCCTAATCCAGTTTTCCTCCTTATTGTTCTCTCTTTTTTAAACTTATTCACCATTCTCTTGATGACTCTTGAATGGACTTTGAATACATGGAAGGCAGATTATGAATGTTGGTACAATTATTGAAGGCCTGAATGATCTTTTCCCTCTCACCATTGCTCAGTTGGGAAGACATAGTTGGGCTAACACAAAATGATTTTATCCTGATCTCTTTCTAGCTGAATAACTGAAAGTGATTTTCAGTGATTCTTACAAACAAATGATGTCAAAATGGCTAAAGGTCTTATCTGAAAACCTGGAAAAAAGAAACTCAATTAGTTTAGTGAGTTTTTTTTTTTTTTTTAGTAAACATTTTGTCAGATGGATGGACAATTATGTTGTTAAATGATTTGGACAATTTTGCTGTTACACCCGGTGTATATATATATATATATAAGCAATATATATATATATACCACATGGGTAAATAAAAAAGGAAAAAGAATAAAAAAAATGCAACTGGAGTCTTTAAGAATATTGATTTAAGAGTAACTTTATCAGTTTCACAGTTCTATGATTTTCAAAAGCTGTAAAAGTCTATCAAGCTTTAGATAAGACTGCTGAAGCTTATGATGTTTCTTTGGATATCTCAAAAGTGTTTGCATACCGGTCTCCTCTAGAAGTTGAAAGATTATTTCCAGATTAATTTTTGAATTAATTCAATCTTTCTTATGAAATCGGGAAATGAAAGTTGTCTTGAATGGCCACTCTTCTAGATCTTTTTGTGCTATTGCAGCGATCTATACTTGGACTTTGTTCTTAATTTTAATCAATGACCTTCCTGATGACATCAATTCTCAACTTGGTATCTATGCTGATGACAACTATTTACACATGTCTTAATAAATAAGGTCAAATCAGCAGGTAATCTAAAAAATGACCCACAGTTTGTTGTTAACTGGGGCAAGGAGTGGCTTGTTAATTTTAATGACTCTAAAACAAAACTTCTCTCTATTAATCACCTAAAGGACCTTTTTCTGTCCCCACCCTCATCAGCATGGCTGCTGCTAACATCAATGAGAGTGACTTGTTGCGCCTTCATGGACTAACATTCTCAGCTGATATGAAGTGGAAAGGCCATATTGAATCAATTGCTAAGAAAGTCATTGTGTTCTGCTAGATAATTATTCTCTCCAGAATCTGTCTTTCATATTTATAAGTCTATCATTAGTTCATGCTTTGAATATTGTTGCCACATCAGGTCTGATGTTCCTGCTGTATATTTAGAGATTCTTGATAAATCCGTAAAAGAATCAGCAACATTATTGGTCTTGACCTGGTATCTCAGCTTCAGTCACTTCCCCACCACCATAAAGTTGCCTCCCTGTGCCTTTTCTATAAATACTTTCAGAGTAATTGTTCAGATGTGCTCTTCATTATTTTATTATGAATTGTACATATGCGGTTTAATTAGGACTTTTATGGAGACAATGGTGGATGTAGTAAGAAAGCTAAGTAAGAATGTGTTGTTTTGGTGTAAGGAATATTGTTGTATGTTTGGGCCAGTGTTTGTGGCTAGCTAAGTTTAATGTTAAGACAGAAGAAGACTATCCTTTTCCCTATTCCCCATTTTGGCCTAATGCCATCTTTTGTATCATGGTGCAAATAAATATCAATCTTCAATATCATACCTAGAGTTTATGAATTTAAGTGCAGTACTATTTTGTTGGCAAGGTCACATCAAATTGCAGTCGAATTGGCTAGATGTATCCGTAAGTTCTATGCTAACAGTTTTTTCTCAGACTTCTTGTTTGTGGAACTCTCTTCCAGCTTCTTGGTTACCAGCCAACTTTGATTTTCAAAAATCTAAATGCAATGTCAATCGTTATCTACTGACTTCTTGATTTCTCTTCTATTCTGCATGCTCCCTAATGTTTCTCTTTTTTCTCTTGTTCATCCACACTCAGTCATCCCTTGTGCCTTAGTGGCTTTACTGCCTTGCATGGGGTGATATGATAAAAAAATAACAAAAATAACAAATTCTTCTCTCCATCTGAATTTAACTTTTGAAAATCATAGAACTGTGAAACTGGTTTAATTACTTTAAATAAATATTCTTCAAGACTCCAATTGCATTTTCAACTTTTCCTATATATATATATATATATATATATATATAGTTTATGAAAAAGTAGGTAATCCGTATGGGTAGACCCGAGGAGGATAAAATCCAGAGAGCTCAATATATATATATATATATATATATATATATATATATATATATATTCCAACTTGTGGAACTTCCTCTCAGCTCTATACTTTCCAGACAACTTTAATCTGCAAAAATTTAAATACACTGTCAATCATTATTTACTGTCCTCCTGATTACTCTTTTCTCTTCTCACACATCATTAATGTTTCTGTTCATTATTCTGCCACACCCAGTAACCCCTTGTGTCTTACTGGCTTTACTGCCTTGTATGGAGTGAAACCAATTAAAAAAATATATATGGAAAAAATGTTGAGTGTTCCCAGACTACAAAATTAATCAATAGTAACTTCAGGAACTTTCAACATCCTGTTCTGCAAGTAAATAGTATGTCTGGTGATGTAGGCAAGTGCCCTGTAGTTCTGTGTCTTCCGTTATATCTAGCATTCTTATAATATTTGTTAGGCTTATTCCAATAGCTTATGACATATCTTGTTAATGGATTTACAAAATAAATCGAGGTAAAACACAGAGACAGCTTGATGGTGTGAAGCTAATTATAGCTGTTTGGTATGAGCAATCTCATTGTGTGAATGGAGCAAATTGCCTCTATAATAGATGATTGAAAACACACTCTGTATATTGTTCTCACTTTTTGCCTTCATTTTTTAAAACAAAAATCTTTATAAATTTTCTTTTAGTGACTTTAATCCAAAGAAGGAATTGTAATCTAATTGATCCTGACCAGGTATCTCGACCTTCAGTCACTAGCCTCCCTGTCTTCTCTACAAATATTTTCATGGCAACTGCTCTGATGAGCTTTTTACATTGGTACCACAACTACATGAATTTAATTGTGCTACTAAATTGTCATCTAGGTCCCACCCTTTTAGTGTAGAAATAGCTAAATGCAACTGCCACTTCTATTCCAACAGTTTCTTTTCTCGCACTTCCCACCTGTGGAACTCCTTTCCATTTACTTGCTTCCCTGATAAAAACAATCTTCAAAAATTTTAATTCAACATCAATTACCATCTTGAATC